CCCAATTCATTGCTTTCCCTATGATTTGGCTTTTATGAGAGTTAACTATATTCAGGAAAAAGGCCGAGACTACATAATTCTCAACAGAAGTTTGATACCAGCACGATTCGTCGCTGTCTGTCAACTGCAGAGGTAACAGCCCAGTAAGAAACATGATTCTGAGGCATGAAGCTAAAATCCTGCTCCAAGCCTGGGCCTTACTGCTTGGAACATTAGCTTAAAGCCTCAAGATTGCATTAGGGACAGATTTTGGAGAACCGAACAGAAATCTAAGGAAGCTTGATTGTAGAAGTGACAAAATTAACCTGAGCTGTTAATTTCCTAAAAGCCTGAAAGATCATGCCCAGACATTTAAATCATTTAGCTTGCTCAAGTTCATGAGAATCAATTATCCCCTGGTGCTTTTGTCTTTTATTGGAGAAAACAAAAAGTTAGAATTTTTCATAATTAAGGACCAATTGTTCCACTTCACCGTTGGATGCCAGGGGACCTTCATACCTACAGGGGGAGAAGAACTGCATCATCTCCATACACTAGGATTGGGAGAGGTCTGTAGAGGCTCAGGGCCTTTAGCAGTCTCAGCCGGCTGCCACTGCCCCAGGCCTCTACGTCAGCCCCAGCACCGTTGCTGCCACTGAGATATGCCATGGTATGGGGCTTGAGGCGGCACTCCTCACAAGTGGTGTTGACTGCGCTGGGAATGAAGTAGAGGCCTGGGGACAGGGACAACTGCAGAAGGCCCCGGGCCTCTAATTCAGCCCCAGTGCTGCTGCCGCCGCTGCCACCACCAAACAGAGCTGTTGTGCAGGGTGGCCAAAAGGTCAGAGATGGGGGCAGATAGGCAGGTGGGGGGAGTTGAAGAGGAGTCAACTTGTGTTACTGAAGCTCTGGGCTGGGAAGGAGCAAACTGGCAATGGCTTGGATTGGGATGGGTCCTCACCTAACGACCGGTGCGTCTTGGGGTTATGATGGAAACCAGGACCGCCTGGATTGTCGTTGCTAAGTGATGCAGTCATGTGATGTCGCACTTTCCCATATTTCATTATACTTGTCCATACAAAGACTGTGTCTCGGGCAATCCACTCATTAGTGGCAAGTGCAATCCGGTTTTCAATCCATTGAATAAATGGGGCCATACATTTATTTATCTTTCATAACATGATATCTAATGCTGCAATATCAGTCTTTCGGCCACAGTAAGGGCATGGAGAATCCATTTAGGTTGTCTGGATGTCAAATTCCATGTACTAGGTATATAGTTCAAAAGAATATTGTCCTCTGAAAATTTCAGCTTTTGTCTCACAGTTATATTTGTATAGGAGTCCACTACTTTCTCCCAAAACTTAGTAAGTATAGGACATTGTAAAACCTGCCTTTTAAAAAAGCATTATCCTTATTACATCTTCAACAGAATTCTGTCTTATTCAGTCTTTTTTTATACAAACGAAGTGGAGTCCAATAAATTCTAACTATTGTTTTTGGTCGTCATAAGTTGAAGTCCACTGACACTCTTGCTATAGAAGTTAAGATGCTTTCCAGTTGTCTAGGCAATATGTGAACCTCTAATTCTTTATTCCACTCATTTCTTAACATCTGCATATCAAACTGATTTAATGATAACAAATATCTACAAAAGCTAATAGTAGGCTTTTTAGTTCTAAACGATTTAACTAGTTGTTCTAGTATCTAGGATGTCTCAGAAGCGGAAAATGCTGCTGGTGCAAACAGTGTTGTTAACAGATGTTGTAGCTGTAAATATTGCCATTGGGATACATCCAATACAGATGATGTTTATCTTTTAACACAGCATATGTTAAAAATTCATCTTCATCATCTATCAGTTGGTCCAAAGTCAATATCTCTGCTTCTATCTAGCTTTTTCATATCACCATTTTTTCCCCAATTTTTAATCTTGGGTCTCCCCATAAAGTCAATTTGGCATGGGAAAAAGGATCGAATCTTTTTTTATTAGACACTCCATTCCATAGCATATTCCAGTGTTGCCCAAATCGGAAAATTAACACCAGCTATTGGCTTCCAGTATTTAATACTTGACAATAGGTAAGCTTGATGATACAGCTCCAGATTTGGAAAACCAAATCCTCCTTCATTAATTGGTAGTTGCATTTTCTGTAAAGATATTCTGAGAATCGAAGAACCGCATAACATAAATTCTAAATAAAGAATTTATTTTCTGAAAATATTTTCCAGATATTTGAAAAGGAATTCCTCTCAGAATATAAATTAACCTGGGAATAACATTCATTTTGCAAGCATTCACTTTCCCCCAAAGGCTGAGGTTTAAGGACTCCCCTCTATCCATATCTCAAGAAAGCTCTTTACATATTTTATTGATATTAGATGTGATGTCCTATATATTTCTGGCAGTCGTTTGGATTTGAATCTGCACCCAGGAGATAAAATATGGCCAGTGACAAGGACTAGAGGGACCGAGACCAAGCCTGGGACTTTTTAATTGTTTTCTTCAGAGGCATCTGCAGAATGGGAGACTTTTGTCAAAATGAAGAAATAGCAGCGTTGTGCCTTCACAACACAAGCTCCAGCTCATATGTGTGGGTGGTTTCAAATGCATATAGAAATGCATGTACAACAGTCCAACAGGACACTCAGTACAGAAATAGAAACAAAGCGATACTGTCGAAAACGTTAGTCTATAGAGTATAATATAAAATGGGTCAGAATTAATCCTGAAAATATATAGTCATGGATTGCAAGACATAACAATATTAGCAAAGCATCTAACGCAGAGAATTTGAATGTTAAAAATGCCTAATGTTGTCCAGCATCTATATTGGCAGACCCATGTTTTACCCTTCTTAATGAAATACAGTAAAGCAGTCTAAAGCATCCTTCTTACAGTTATTATCTGTGCTTAAACTGCCCAATTTAACTAGAAAAATGAAATAAAAGAAACCTAGTCTAAAAAACTCTTTTCCTACAACAAGTGGTTTGGCTCAGTCACACTGAGTACAGCAGAATAAATCATTTGAGGAAAAAAATCAGATATAATCTGAGATTTCTTCAAAGCTACTATGGAATAATATATCAGCCAACCAGGTCAGGAAACTTTGATTTACTTGGATTTCTGTATAAATAAGCAATCAGGCAAAGTAGTGAACTAGACAAATAATAGAAAACCTGACATATTTACTTTAATGTTGGAAATTATGGAAAGGGTATGTATAATTGCGTTTCTTAATAATCTCACTTAATTCAAACGCTAGACTCCAATAGCCTCACTTAATTTGAAAGCTAGATTCTAGGATTTCAAGGTACAGGAAAGTGACTGAGTTGTTGCTTTTTCCAGAGACTCCAACCCTGATATTAATACTTGTACTTCTGCATCAATTCAAGCACGTCAGGATACAAGCGTTGGGGAGCATCCAGACCAAAGATAGGATCAGCATGTTCCCAATCAGGTATATCCTTATAGAAAACTAAATGAGTGATTCGAGTAACCAGTGATTCAATATTACTTCTGGTTGCAGCAATATCTTTTCCTCCACTCCACACAGCTACTGGCACACTAACATCTTCAATTTTATAAAATGGAGGTGTTGTCTGTGGATGAAAAGAGGAGAAAATAAAAGAATGTGATTTGGGAATCAACCCCATTGTGCAGTGAAGTTGTCTAATGGGTTCATGGA